TCTTCCGATCTCCCCAAAACCCCAAAACCCCAAAACCCCAATTGTTAACAATTTAAGAATTTATGTAGTAGAATTTAGAGAAATTAATTGAAATTATGAAGCAAAGATATCATTATCATTTTTAGAATACCTATCTGCCATTATTACCTGATCTTATAACTAGCAATGTAGTAGGCTATATATTTATTTTCTCAGAATAAGTATTGGCTTATTAAATTTTTGAAACATTCAGTGTATGTCCTTGATATTACTGTTCTTTGTGAAGTTTTATAGCTCTTTCAACTGCATCTTCATTACTAAATAAAATCTTAGCTTCTAGCCTATTTTGGTCGAAATCTATATCTTTAACTCTTCCAAACTATGTGAAATACACTTTTAGAGAATGTGTATCAACAGTTTTTGGAATATTATCAGCGAATACAGTCAGATGGTCCTCTTTAGGCTTAGGATTTTTAAGATCGACTTTAATTGGTTCCTTAACCTAATCTTGAGCCAATAATTTTGTGTCTACAATAGCTTTTACCTACTTTGGCTATTATATCTAGTCCTATTTAACTAAAGCTTTCTATACATATGGACCTTACAGTTATTTTCTTAATTCTCTTTGTTTGGGTAATTTCATCGTAAATTTATCATTGATAGAAATCATCTAATCATCATCAATCTATTAAGAGGGTAGATCATTGGATTAATCTTCAAAATCAATTATCTCTTGCTAATTATTGCTAGTTGTTTTTAGTCTTTTAAAAATATCGAATTCAACTTTATTCTACTTCTAGACTACCTATTTATAAGCAGTTTAAGTTTTTGGAGCTTGGTGTCTCTAATTTATCTAGCTAATTAGTTTATCAGTGTTTATAGCTGGCCTAGATTAATTTAACTCAGGGTTATTTTTGTCTAATAGTGATCTAAGATTTGATTGGGATAGATTTTTAGATGGTTTGTCAATATCAATAAATGCTCTCATTTTATAATTTAAATTCTATTATTGAATTTTCTATTTTTTATTTAGTTTACAATTAAACTTGAATTTACAAAATGTTAAAGTAAGGGGTTTTGGGGTTTTGGGGTTTTGGGG